ACGCTGCCGTTGCGACACGACGGCAAGCCTTGGCGTTGGCGCACGCCACGCCGACGCTGCTGCATCCATGCGTGTGTGCGACCGCGGCAAGACGAACCCGACGGGAGGGTACTGGAATCAGTCTGCCCCACCGACAGCGGCTATCCGCAGACGGGCTTGCCGCTTGCTGTAAGAGGTCGAGTCCAACCAACCTCAAACGCCTTTCACAGGCGGAGGTGGTCAACGACGATTCATCACAGTACAATCGGAGGCGAATAGGACTCCAATTTTGACTGACATGAGATATTCAGCAGCCGTAATATTCCAGCTTTGCGTCGTCTAAATATGCAACATTTGAGACGCGCGGCGACGGGTACGAGCTTGGTCCCTTTTTGTCACGCATGGGGGCTGATTTTGCAAACCATGGGTCGAAAGGGGGCTGATTTTGCAAATTCCCCTACGAGCGGTCGTGGCTCCATCATGTTACCACGGGCGATACCAACGATAGCTAGCGCGCACGCCTCTACGAAGAGTACGATTATTGCAACGTAGTGATGCATCGCGTGGGGTAGAGTACTGAAGGCGAGAGGATATGATGGATACCGGTATGATCATGTAGCCACCATTGTGGCACATGCAGAACGCAGCGCGATCGTGTGACGCACGCAGCGGTTTCAGCTCCATGCCACCTGCGATGATGGAGCCGCCGGAACCGAACAGAAATGCACCCCTGACATACACGATGGTCCAAGATGAGGAATCTAGCATGCGGGTGCTCTGTGGCTGGTGGTACTATCTTGATCACAGCGTAACCTACGCGAATCGATGCTTGGTGGTGGGCCTCCAGCGATGTGGTGCTCTTGTAGCCGCAGATGCGTCGTCGTTGTTGCAAATCACTGCTCTACTTGGCTGGATGCCCTGCATTTGCAGACTAAACGGTGCTCGCGCTTTGGCGACGCAGTGAGGGCTTCCATGGCTTTTCACAGAGTAAAACAAGTTTGCGTGATGTTCGAAGGAATACCATTAGAGCGCCGCGTCGTCATCCACAAGACAGTACGTCGTCTTCGTTGAAGTCTTCTCTTGTCGGTCGTCTTGCCAACATATCACAAAGTGTTCGCGGAGTTTTGAAAAACAAACAACATAATGACCAACGAGTGAATGCACGTCCAGTACTAGTACACAATCCACGTTCTTGCGAGCCCACCCCGAAGAGGCGGGATCTGCTAAAACGCTTCGCTCGTGTTATAATAAATGTCAGTACGAGTTGCCCTCGTATACGAAGAATGCTTTTATACCAGTAATGAATAACCCTTGGCAGGAAACTGCGATCTGAGCCCCGCCGACTGCTAAACAAGACACATTTGCCCTCGTGCGCGTGTACTGTTCTGTATGTCGGTGGTAGTTTGCAATGGACGAGGAAGCTAAACACAGGGCTCGGGCTGGCGCTCTTTTGCTGGTTACTTTTCCAACAACGGTTCAAGATCGCGCCATGGCGGGTTCGTTCCTTCGCGCGCTCCGCGCAAAGCGATATGATTCGCTAAAAAAGCCGGATACGCTCACCACAACATCCAATCCGCGTGCGTGTCCGGATACCGAGCCTTCGAAAGTTGCTACATTGTACGGAGGATCGCAACTACTTCCTCAGCGCGCATGCTCTGCGACGACTGCAAGAAGAACTACATCACGGTGTTCCGGCCCAAGGCTGGCGGCCTTGCGTTGTGCGCCAGTTGCCGCCAGCGCCGCAAGGTGGAGGACACCTCCGCTTTAGCTGCCACTGGGGCCCGCCGGCCCTCGGTCGCGGGCCCAGCCTCGGTTGCAGCGCTGCCACTCACCTCAATTGCTTCACCCGTGACGTTTGCCGCTATCGCACCCACTACCTTGGCTTCAGCCCCGTCGCCGACGTCGATGTCCGCGTCAACGAAATCGATCGCACCCATAGACTCGGTTGCAGTCGCGCCGCACCCGCCGGCGTCGAGCGCAATTGAGATGCTGCTGGCCGAGATCTATCGGCTCCGAACCGTCGAGTGCATGCAGCACGAGCAAGTGTGCAACCAACACAAGCAGGTACTGGCGCTGGGCGAAGCCGCTGCCCACCAGGGACAAACCATCACTCTGCTGCAACGCAACTTGACCGTGCAACAAGCCATCGCTTTCCAGCTGCAAAAGGAAATGCGGTGATGGCAGCCGATCTCGCCGCCTCCAAAGCGGCGCTTGCTGCCGAAGTGCAAGGGCACGCAAAGCAAGTCGACGACATGCAGCGCCGCCACGCACAGCTGTTGTCCATGTACCGCGCTGCGGCGACAAGCACGATTATGAAGCTGCAAGCGACGATCTCTCGGCTGGAGTCGCACATCCGCGACATCGCCCGTCCGAGCGAGGCAGCTTAAGGGTATCTGGGCTTTTCGCGAGGTCGGTGCTTCGAACACGACATGTTGCACCAATTTAAACCTTTTTTATGATTTAATTTCACCTCTTATGCAAGTGTTCACGTGCCATCGAAGCGACAAGGTACTCACTCTACTACGACTAAATAATTAGCATGGCACACATGTACGTATTATGTGTTAAAATATATCTTCTTCTTCATGACGGCGGGACATGAGATACTTGAAGCAGGAAGAAGCCACGCAGTACTGTGATGATGCCAATTGCCAAAAGCCGCAAGCCAATGTTCCATCATAGACACGCGCATCATTGCAGCCAATCACCGCGCACCAATCGCCGCAAAGCAACCAATGGCATCGCCGGGTTCGATATCTTGCCTTTGTGTCGTTCTGGCCTCATGGCGGGACGCCAGCACTGCCAATGTCACTTTTCATTTTCGCTTCTCGATGACATCCCACTTTGTGTCGATCCCTTCGCCACACGCAACGCCGGCAGACGCCTCGACGCTCACGCTCGCATGGCATATCGCTGACCGATCCGTGCAATTCCGCAACCCGTCGACCAAGGCGGACGAGACCAAGGTCATTTTGCACGACGTCTCGGGGACGGCAGCTCCTGGACAGTTTATCGCGATCATGGGCCCATCGGGTGCTGGTAAGAGCTCGCTTCTTGACATCATTTCCGGCCGTGTCACCAGCTTCCACGGCTCGGTCACGGTGAACGGCCAGCCATGGACGCCCGAGGTCACACGGCGCACGTGCTACGTCATGCAAGACGACATCTTCTACCCCACGCTCACGGTGAAGGAG